ATCTCTTTATGGAGATCAGGGAAAAACGGCAGACCCCGGCGGTGAGGCTGTGACCTGCGCTGCAGGTAACGCTCGTCCATTTTACTGGTGACTTGCGTTTCCTGCTCATGTTGTGGCCAGCTGATGTTTAGTCTGGCCACAGCGCGTGTCACAACCTCCACCAGCTCCTCATAACCCAGGCCGCGTGATGGCGTGCTGAGATCACGGTCGTCCGCATCGATGCTGAGCACGTCCCCTTCCTCAGAAGTAGACAGCTCAAGCACCGGGACCTGATCGCGGGTAGGAGAAACCGCAGCGCGGGCTCCCACACCACTCTCAGAGGCTGCGGGACCAGCCGATGGCGAGCGAGAAAATGCCTCAGCATTCTCACTCTCCTCCGCCAGATCCCGCTGCGAACCCCAGGATCTCAGTCGCCGCATCGCCTCGACATATGCGGGACCGGAACCCTGGGGAACGCGAGCCTGACCGTGCTCGTCAAAGCACGCCAGCCGGGAGCGCAGCACTCTAATAGGCAAAGCCTCACACATTTCACAAGCAGCCCCCTCGAGAGCTGCCCGTGCGTGCTGCACTCCCAAACAATACACACATAGAGAGTGTGCGTCCCCACCCGTGATGAAACGAGGGCAGGGATGCACACACCTCTTGAATTGTTCACTGGCCATACTTTCTTTCAATAATAAGACAAACAACACCAAATAAGACAGACAGTTTCAACATAAAGCGCTTGCTGAAGAGCGAAAGCTAGTGTGTGTTGTGACAGCGTCACTTTTATACTTCCGGGTATGCCGTCACATGTTACGTCACGACGCAACACCAATCAGGATTGGATTAGTTTCATTCATACTTCAGAGGCGCACGCTTAGGGAGCGTCCCCAAAGAGTCGATTTTATCGACGCAGTGTTGAGTTCCCTCGATAGGGAACAGACGCACACACAAACACACTTATATACACAAACACACCAAAAAATTCAGATGTGTTTTGCATTTTTAAAATGCTCAGTTTGTCCATCCATCTCATTTCAAAAATTGCTTTTATGAGGCCAAGGCTTGACTCTAAAATGAAATACAGCTTTAAAAAAAAAAAAATATTTTTTTTCAATATTTTTTCTATTATGTTCAATGGGGAGAAATTTTGTCATAATTATTGCATTAATACTAATTATAAATTTTTTTATTTTTGAAATTTTCTCAAAACACCAAAAAAGAAAAGAAAAAATATTATAAAAAAAACGAAATCAAGATATTTTTTTTTTTTTTAAATATGAATCCCGCCCTTTGGGTCCATTTGGACCCGAACACCCCGTGTGTGACTCTGAAACGAACAACCCCAGAGGGTTAAATTGTAAAGCTATTTCACAATATTATTGTTTTGCCCTGTATTTTTAGTCAAATAAATAATTGACTTTATTCCACTGGAAAAAAAAGCAAGTAATTCAGTTTTGGAATGATATGTTAGTGAATAAAAGATGACATTTTTGTTTTTGTTTTGATCCTGGATAAAGATGTCCCAATCAGAGCTGAATATTGCATTTTTGGGACACATTCTGTCAAGATCTCCGAGGAGACGTTAAACAACCTGTGTCCCTGCAGGAGCGCTACGACCCAGACAAGCTGAAGCTCCTCGACAGGTTGAATCCCACTGTCCTCCTCTAGGTGTCTCTCTCTGTTCTCTCACAGCCGTACACGCAGAGGAATCCATTATAGAAGTAATTTGATTAGGCTGGAATAATATTCCTCCCCTGCCCAACCGCAGGCAATTTTTAATTAGTTCATTAAGATTTTACATAAGAAAGAGAAACTTTCTTCATTTGAGCTGTGATCCAATGAACCACAAAATACGACTGAGAAACATAATGCCACCGACACAATAATCCGACCCTCATCCGCAGCTGTTTGGCAGAATTTGCTCTTTATGTAAGAGGTTTGTTGTGGTATTTGAACATGAATATGTGCACAACAAATCACAATGCTTAATATTCACAACCTCAAGGGCATCCAAGATGTGGGTGTCTTTGTTTCCACAGTTTTTTCAATTTTGATATTTTTAGGTCAAACCGTTCTTGTCTGTCAGTCATATAATGGAGGTCTATGGTCACCACCTCAAAGAGCAGCACAGAGAAGTCCAAATTAAACATGATTTAATGACTCGTAAATGTAAGTACACACTGATGGCCTAAGACACGAAACGAGCGGATTGTGTGAGAAAACCAACAGTATTTATATCGTTTTTACCTCTTGTAACCACAGCCACGTCCAAGTGATCTGAGGGCGCGGGCGCTTCGGTCTGGGCAAGCGCCGGAAAGAGCCGGAAGTGATCTCTCGTGCGGTTGCGAAAAAATTCAACGTCTATTGATATACCGAAATCGTCTTCCATTGCGATTTCCTGTATATCTAAATATGTTTAGGTAACGTTTCCAAAATCTCTGTGTAAACAATGAGTGACGTAGATCACTTCCAGACTGAAGCGTCCACGCCCTCAGATCACTTGGACGTGGCTGTGGCTACAAGAGGTAAAACGATATAAATAATGTTGGTTTTCTCACACAATCCGCTCGTTTCGTGTCTTAGGCCATCAATGTGTACTTACATGTACGAGTCATTAAATCATGTTTAATTTGGACTTCTCTGTGCTGCTCTTTGAGGTGGTGACCATAGACCTCCATTATATGACTGACAGACAAGAATGGTTTGACCTAAAAATATCAAAATTGAAAATACTGCGGAAACAAAGACACCTACATCTCGGATGCCCTTGAGGTAAGATAAAACATGCCAAAAATTAATTTCAAAGTCAACTATCCCTTTAATCCTTTACAAGAAGGCGTGAAAGTGAGCTCATTGGGATGGCGATGGATATGGCAATGTTAATGTATTTGGTCTTGGTGAAACAAATCTGCTGCACAAGTACACTCAGAGACATTACCGTGAGCCTGTGAGACATGCTGCTGCTGATAGAGATGATTATATACAGTGTAAATGTATATTAAAGTGAGTATCGCAGTAAACACAGTCAGTTTGGTTTTAACTAAACATAAGCTGTTGAGAAATAAAAAGGACGTGTAACAGTATACTGGATCCAAGCATTAGCTCTTAAAGTGACAGCAGCCTAATATTCCTGCTGCCGTCTACTTCATTGATGTTCAACAACAAAGGACAAAGAAAAAAATCACTCACGGCTCTTGACTGAATAACTTTTGCAACTTTAATAAGGATTCATTTATGTTTCATGGCTGGCAAAATTTCTTAACTCACCAGCCATTGGCCTAAAGTTAGTTTTAGGCCCTGTATACAAATAGTTAAGAGGTAGAGGCTGATGGTACTTTACATGCAATCTGCAGTTCTGCATGGCACAAGCTGATTGGCCTCTGCTGATTCTGTAGCCAATGAGATAGCTTGCTCAGCATTTAAATAGTCTGGTTCAGTGTTTGCTGTAATCTACTCGTCACTATCAGAGCTAGACCAAATACATTAACATCACCATATTCAGTAATATGCCAATACAATTCTAAAGGATGTTATTATTTATATATATGAAGCAGTTCAGATGCAAAAGTACGGAAGCCCTGAACCGCAACCTAAAAAAAAAAAAATCTGTAAAAAAAAAAATCTGTAAAAAAAAAAAAAAAATCTAGCATTTCGAGATTAAAGTCGAAATGTTTCGAGATTAAAGTCGGAATGTTTCGAGATTAAAGTCGAAATGTTTCGAGATTAAAGTCGGAATGTTTCGAGATTAAAGTCGAAATGTTTCGAGATTAAAGTCGAAATGTTTCGAGATTAAAGTCGAACAGTGCGCGTCCACTGGCTCAGAGCGCGCGCGCGTGTGTGTGTGTGTGTGTGTGTGTGTGTGTGTGTGTGTGTGTGAAGTCGAACTGCCATGGATAAACCCAAAATAGTAGCTTTTTACTTTTATCTGGGCTTTCAACAAAATTCTACACACGTCACACGTGCTAGTGGCAGTGTTTCTGAGGTGTTTTCGTGCTCGTCTAGTCAACACTATCTGGGTCGAGAACACAACAGTAACTGTTTGGTCTCCCTCTTCACCGTAAATACGCTCTGGATACATTTTAAGTGCATCATTCTGTATCCAATCATTTGGCCGGATCCTGTGATTTCCTAAGATTTAATAACCACTTATGGTTGAGGAGAGATTCTCTGATATGATTGTAAAGCACTCTGAGTGTAGGCATATATGAAAGCGCTATATAAATGCCCTATTCATTCATTCATTCATTCCTAAAGCTGGATTTCTCCATCCAGTCTGAAAAGTGTTTTCCGTGTTGGTTTTCCTAGGCTAAAGTCTATTCCGGCGCATTATATTTTATAACGATAAAGTAAGATAAGTAATTCAGATAAAAGTAAAAAGCTACTATTTTGTGTTTATCCATGGCAGTTCGACTTCACACACACACGCGCGCGCTCTGAGCCAGTGGACGCGCACTGTTATGAATGCACAATGTTTCGACTTTAATCTCGAAACATTTCGACTTTAATCTCGAAACATTTCGACTTTAATCTCGAAACATTTCGACTTTAATCTCGAAACATTTCGACTTTAATCTCGAAACATTTCGACTTTAATCTCGAAATGCTAGATTTTTTTTTTTTTTTACTGATTTTTTTTTTTTTTTACTGATTTTTTTTTTTTTTTTAGGTTGCGGTTCAGGGCTTCCGTACAAAAGCCTCTAAGTGCCATTTGAAATTTTCTTCTAGAATGATCATTTTTATCAAGCTTGTATATTTAAGTTCAGTGATTTCACTTAAATGGCAATGAAGATTACCTATTAATTGTTATTTAAGTGAAATTACTGAACTTAAATATACAAGTTTGATAAAAATCATCATTAAAGAAGAAAATTTCAAATGGCATTTAGAGGCTTTTGCATCTGAACTCTTCATATATATATATATATATATATATAGGAAGTAAAATAAATCTGCAGCAATGTTCCAAAGGAAGGTGTTGGTGGCAGGGAAGCTTATTGTGTGTGTGTGTGTTTTACCCCAGTTCTTCATCAGCAATGTTTTTCTTTCCGGAGAGCTGTCGTTTGCGCAGTTCTGCGAGCATGGCTTGAATTTCATCATTCATCTCGTTCACACTCTTCTCTGGAGCCCCGTCCCTCACGCCCAGAGTCGCGTTCAGCTCACGCGCTTTGTCCCGTAAAGCTGGACAAACACACACACATGAGCAGCAGGGACATAACATCAGGGTTATTATAGTTAACTCAACCTAAAACCATAAATCCTTTGTCACTTCAAATGGAATAAATTTGAACATGTTAAAATGTAAAATAAATAAATAAGTGCTTTCATGCTTTAATCTTGTCGCAACACTTAAAATACGAGACCTTCCCTGACTTCCTAGGTTGTCTATGAAAGCCTGTAGACTGATATTTAAGTGAAGGTTTCCCTGGGAAAATCAATTGGATGTGACGTTTCCACGTGCTCCCGAGAGCCGGGCCCCAGGTGAAATATAGGAATGAGGCCTTATACATTTGCACACATTTACCTGGATCATCCTAGAGGTCTGGATGTTCAGTTCAGTGCGGTCGCTAGCAGTATTAGCGGAGGTAGGACACTAGCTGGTGCTTTGGGGTTATGTTCACAACACAATAACGCTAGGCTGTAAATCTACATTTCAAAATACATTTATTTTTAGTTATTTTAACAACAGATTTAAATGAACATGAAAAATGACACACTTAAAATATTATTTCAACCAAAAATAAAGTACATGGGCTGTCAATGGGCTGTCAGACTCGAGTTTCTGTGTGTAAATTAAAGGATTAGTTGACTTTTGAAAAAAAAACTTTTGCTGATAATTTACTCACCCCCATGTCATCCAAGATGTCCATGTCTTTCTTTCCTCAGTCGAAAAGAAATTTAGGTTTTTGATGAAAACATTCCAGGATTTTTCTCCATATAATGGACTTCAATGGGAACCGGATGGTTCAAGTATCAAAAGACAGTTACAGTTAACAGTTTCAGATGCAGCTTCAAATGTCTTTAAACGACACCAGACGATGAATAAGGGTCTTATCATGCGAAACGATCGGTTATTTCAAAGCTTATTCCAAAAATGTAACTTTTCTAAGGACAAATGCTAGCCTTTCTCCATTCTCTGAGGCGCGTTTGTAACGTCACGTAGTACGTAATTACGTTCAAAAGGTCACGGGGGACGTAGCCGAAAGTACAGAGTCAGAGTGTTTACAAGTTGAACGCATAGGTTGAACGTGAAAACTAACTCAAACGCCGTTTACAAAAAAGGAATTAAAAGGTAAAACAACGATGTCGGACGATTTTGACTCTGTACTTCCGGCTACGTCGCCCGTGACCTTTTGAACGTAATTACGTATTACGTGACGTTACAAACGCGCCTCACAGAATAGAGCAAGGCTAGCATTTGTCCTTAGAAAAGTTCCATTTTTGGAATAAGCTTTGAAATAACCGATCGTTTCGCATGATAAGACCCTTATTCATCGTCTGGTGTCGTTTAAAGACATTTGAAGCTGCATCTGAAACTGTTATTAACTGTCGTTTGGACCTCGGTTGGACCTGGTTCCCATTGAAGTCCATTATATGGAGAAAAATCCTGGAATGTTTTCATCAAAATCCTTAATTTCTTTTCGACTGAGGAAAGAAAGACATGGAGATCTTGGATGACATGGGGGTGAGTAAATTATCAGCAAAAGTTTTTTCAAAAGTGAACTAATCCTTTAACTGCGCATGCGCAAAACAATAAAAATATGATACGCAATAAACAATAGCACACGAGTAAAGAGCGCAATATTGCTTCAGATGTAAGATATTTGTATTAGCTACAAACAGGATACACAAGAAGCAGACGTTATAACGAACACATCAGCAATCGCTTGAACGAGCATCTCGTATATATAAGAAGCGTTTTTAGGGGGCCTTTGGGGCCCAAAGGTGGTTGCCTGCCTTTGTCTAACGGTAAGTCAACCTCTTCTGCTCAATTACACATGAAATTAATTTTTATATACTCAGGATAATGCTGAAAGAGCCATTCTGCACTGTAATTTTTGTCTCATATTTATTTCATGATATAGTTAAACAGGCAATATCACACGAGTGCCGAACAGCACGAGTTCAATAAATAAGAAGTTAGTATTATCTTCGATTTTAGACACAATATTGTCTGTTTTTGCTCAATTTTGCACACAGAAATATTAATAGCCAGAGCAGAATTGGTTTCGAGTGAACGAATCGGATGAACCAATGATTCAATGGCCCACGGATAGAGAGAGCCTTTACTTCATTCCATGAATCGGCCATTTAAAATAATCAAATGAATGAATGACTCAACAACGTACTCGATTGGAAACGTCTGTCTTATTTAGAGTATCGTTTAATTATATATTTTTCTTACTTTTATTTTAACAAAAAAAAAAAAAAACTCATTAAAGGTAGAGCTAATCGAAGCTAATCGGTAGAGCTAATCGCCATCGAAGCCTACTTTTTGTAATGTATTTCTCACAATAACGACTTTAACCCTCTGGGCTTCTTCGTAAATGGGTTACACTTTGCTTCCTCCCGGTCAAAAACGGACGAAGCCTTAAAATTTAACTTTACTTCTTCCCAGGATAACCATTCAAATATATTTTTGTTCTATAATATTTTCTGATTATTATTTAGAATTTTTAGAATTTTTTATGATACTTTGCATTAATTATATAATTTTTATGAGGTATTTTTTCCATTAGAATTAATATACATATTTTTATTTTATTTTTTAAAAATTTTTTTTCAATAAATACAACATTTCACATCAAAATAGAGTGTCAGCTAATAAAAAAAAATAATTCAAGTAGAAGAGCGCCACCTAGTGGCGTTAAAAAATAGTTACATGTGTGCAATGTCCTGTACAGCCTGTAGGCTGCCTATAGCTTCCTATTCAAATACATAGAAAGGCTTTTTGATTCTTTTTGTTGGTTTAGACATGATTTCTCATGTCTGTGTGCGTGTGTGTGTGAGTGCGCATTTGAGCAAGATTTTTTTCTCATTTATTGATTTTATTTTTCATATTCTACAAATTTGCTGGTGCAGTCTTGCCAGTTTATCTGTGTATGTGTGTGTGTTTGTGTGCGCGCGCGTGTGTGTGTGTGTGTGGGGGGGTCTTATTTGCACTCTTGATGTTCTAGAGTGTCACCCCTTCATTGCTGTACACTTTTTTTTCTGCACAGTTGCTGATCTGTAGCTTGTACCACCAAAAGTTTCTCTAAGTTTTCCTATTTTTTCGTATTTCCCATTCATTTCCTATATGTCGGTCATTTTTGACCGGGAGGAAGCTAAGTGTGACTTTTTTTTTTTACAACCCTTTAACAAATCAGAATCATCTCCTTGATTTTTTTGTGTCTTCATATAGGTAATACAACAAAAGTCACCAAGTTTCAGCCCGATCCGATCAAGCAAAAAAATTAAACATTTCAAAACGGTCATTTTTGACCGAAGAAGCCCAGAGGGTTAAATCATCTTTTAGGCCAAATTTGATGTCACAATTAATTTGTGATAAACTAGACTACAAATTTGAATCGACTGACAGCCCTAATATACATAGCAAACAACTTTACCACACGTTTCTTTCCACTTGCTTTTCACAGCAGGTCGATTTCAAGAAGTTCAAATGAAACTGAGCACAGTTAATGTTCTCTAATCAAATCAAATTAGATTCAGAAATAAAAACCTCAATCAAACGGGAGGGGGGGGGAGAGCGAGCAAGCTCCTCTGCATATTCTAATTTAAATAAAAATCATTAAATTGAGATGAAAATGAGTTATAATTACACGCGTTCGGGAAATTCCTCGAGAGTTCAAACGTAAACAGTGGAAAGACTACAAAGAGCGCAGTGTACCTGCCGAGCGAGCCGAGCTGGAGATAATTGCACAGTGAGTTTCAAACGCAGCTCGGGTCTTTGGGGTGGACAGAATCATTTGATTCCTCCTCGTTTAGCGTGCGAGAGAAGATGAGAGACGAGGCGGTTTACTGGAGCAGGAGCTCATGCACAGAATGGATAATGAAGCTCTTCCATGTCTGCTCTCCTCCACTTCTGCAAGCAGCTTTTTGGCCAGTTATCAAAAACCAGAGGACCAAAGTGCAATCTGCCGACTTTAAGAGCCAAACACGTATCCGAGGAAATAGATTAACCACTTTTTTAGTATTTATGGCTTTAATCTGCATGGACTGAGAGTGTCCATCTGTATGAGCGTCTGATGTTTAGATGTCCAGAGACAACACCATCTGTTGGGAAAACTACATTTGCATTATTAAATAATCGATTCACTGATGCATCGTGATGTGATCCGTCCAGAAAACTGAAAAATATAGAAATATAAAATATAGAAAATATCCCCGTGCTGAGCAAACAAACACGAAGAAGCCCTCAGAAACACAAGCGGCCGGAGACGTCTCTGATACTTCGCTATTATCAGTGTTGTGCAAGTTACTTCCAAACTGTAATACATTAGGTATTACTTGTTACTGTTATTTAAAAGTAATTCATTACCTTACAATATTACTGTCCCAGAATTGTAATGCGTTACATTACTCATGTATTACTTTTGAGTTACTTTCACCAAAATAACTAAGTAGAACTTAACTTTTGGGCTGTAACGATATGCAATATGAAACCGAAATCGCGATTCGCCACATCCACGAACCTACAGAATCGCGACAAACCTCTTCCAACTCCAGCGTTATTCTCCTTACCGTCCATATCCAATGCTGCCTTATCTTTAAATTAGGCCATTAGTATTATTTGAAGTTAACATTATAAAATACGTAGACCTACACCACAAAACTAGTTGAGGATAAATTATTTAAAATTGGGGAAGTCCAGCATTATGGACATGACATTTGTAGTCAAAACTTGAAATAAAAATTCTCCGAAAATTCATGTATTGAAACGTATATAGGCTACTTCCTTAAAGGACTCCAGACATTAGACAAATATCAGTCTATGTTTTATTTTTAATATTAGGGAAAAGACACACATTCATGCGTGACAAAAAAAAAATATTTTTTGTAATTCTGTTAATTACACTGCGCAAATCGGATGAGGAAGGGTTGGCTCTCCAGTCTCCATAGAACTTAAAATATTCATTTTATTTTAGTTTTCGTGTTCGCATTTATGAGGAAAAAACAATGTTACAGACAAGACCGCTCTGAACCGGCACTAAAAGACTGCTTTAAAACTTTCACATAGTCTGTTGCCTTTAAAATCAGACAATACACTGTAATACAAGACTCACTGAACATCTAACGAGTAAAATATTACTGAAAATTGATTAGTAATGCCTTACACTACTGCGTTACAGCAAAAAGTAATATGTTACTGTAAAGTATTACTTTTGTAATGCGTTACTCCCAACACTGGCTATTATAGATGCTTATACAACATTTACTGGCAGAGCAGAAACGCTGTAGTATAGCTTTAGTCTGAAGGTCTCAAGAGACGCTTTTAAAAGATTAACATCTTTGCACCTGAAACAGCATTTTAAAAACACGATTTTAAAAATCGAGACTCATTCTGGAATGATAACAGGTGAACTTGTTTCATAATGGATGAACGTTGACACTGTTATTGAACTGAATTAAATCAACATTGATTCAATTCTGAACTAATCACTGAAGTAAATTGAGCTATTGTCTTCTGTGGAGTTGCTAACGGTTTATTACTGTGAGCACTGCAAAATAAATTAATGAATAAATACAAATGTATACGATTAGCATTTTCGTCCTGTTGAAAAAGATTCAATCGAGTTTTGTAACAAGTTTTGTTTTCTGAAGAAAATCATTCAAATCAAGTGAGTTTAGGAAAAAAATATCTCTCAACAACGGGGTGAGAAAAATGTATTTCTCTGTTTTAAACAGAAACTCACTTAATTGTGATTAATTTTTTCAGTAAACAAGACTCAAACATAACTGAAGTAATTAAATCAAGACAAAAAATACAGAGTAAGAAAACTTTTCTTTTTGTTTCAGAGTATTGTAGAAAGTTCAACATAAATGTGACTTGACTTGAAGGATCCCACTACTACAAATACACACACACACACACAGTCAATTGCTAGAGTATCTGTTTAAGTGGTTATTTTTCTGGTTAATTAATTAATTTAGTCTCTTTTAATTAAGACATCACATAGTGTTAGCTGAACCTTCATTAACTAAACCAGCTTCTCATTTAATACCATGTATGATGATATACAAACACCCACCTCGGAGTATCGGGGCCTCTCTCTCTCTCTCTCTCTCTCTCTCTCTCTCTCGTCCAGTACGTACGCGTGGGCGTTTGCTGAGTGTGAATCGGAGCGTGACTGTGGAGTCCTTTCTTCTTTTTCAAAGGTCTGTTTCTCTCACTGGTTTTACCGTGTATGGTCACAAAGCACTGGGAATATTGTGGTGAGAACGGGGAGGATTGGGTTAGCCAGTTTTTAAACGGACTGCCATGGCGAATGCGGAGACGGCGAGTTATGAGCAACGTGGAACAGTGTTGCCAGACGTACGATAATGAACGTATTTGTGCGATAATTTTGAAAAAAGTGAGCAAGAATTATCAGATGTTCAAGTTGAGGAAGAGCTGAGACAAGACTATAGAGGTTTCAGTTTGGAGAGAATGAAACAAGGGAATGAGGAATGTTGAGACTATTTTCTTGATCTTTCCTATTTATTGAGTTTAATGAAACAAAAAGGTGAAGGATGTCTGTCAAATCCTGAGGTGCATCATCTGAAAAAGATTGTACAAAAAGTGCGTCCTCAGGCATTGAGTAATGATATGTCACAAGAATAACGGGCTGATATGGACCTGGCTTGTTGAGCTTTTTATTATCGCTCATAATGAATAATGGTTGTCGGAATAATGAAACTAGAAAAAAGATATATATAATGTTATGTTTTTGTAAGAAACTCACAGTACAAAGGAAAATGAAGTTGAATGGATGAAAGAGTGACTGCTCTTATGAATAAGAAAACCAATATCGTATGATGTTACAGAAGTAATGCAAGGCAGAATAATTTTTATAATAGCAAAGATTGAAAATGTTACTGTGGAATTCATAAATGTCTATGCTCCTGTAAATCAATGGAAAGAATAATGTTTCTTGAAACTTTACAGTATATGATGTAATACAGAGGTTTTTTAGTACCGGTGTCATGCTACCCATTGAGATTTCCTACTTACCGGTTATGCGCATGTGCAGACTCACAGTTTTTTTTTTTTTTTTTTTTTACAAAAGGTACATTTTCCTGTTATAATGTATAATTTCCCTTTAAAAAATGCTTACTACCATATGAATATTTGTACGGTCAGCCAGCTGAAAAGGAATAACTGAAAGTTTCAGTTACTATAAGAAAAGGTGTACTTTGACAAGTCAAAGATGAATATTTTATGATAATTTTTACTTTTCACACCGTTTTAAAAATGAAAACAGTAGTCTACAGTATACAGTAGCTACTCATAACTTAGAATTGTATTAGAATTGTATTTCATACGACTTTAATCGGCATTCTGTGATCAATTCGCGCTACGGTAGCATTTTTCGACAAGGCAGCAAAAATCGACAGAACACCGGGTGGAGATTTTAATTGTACAAGTAATGATTTAGTTGAGCCTCATATGGCTTCAAGAAGTAAATGACTAAATATGATTAAATAAAACTGGTCAACTCTGTGATGTGTGGAGAATTTTTCATTGTAATGAAAGAGCTCATGTGAAGGAAAATTGCATTTCATAAGCAAGATTGGATCTTTTTTTATTGTTTTAATCTTCACAAACAATGTTTTACATCTTGTGATATTTGTCCTGTTGGTTTCTCTGACCACTCAATGGTACAGCATTTGTTTTTATTAATTCTGCTAAATATAAGAGTGCCTACTGGCATTTTAATAGTGCTTTATTTGAAGATGCTCACTTAAATGTTTTCCTTCTTTTCCCCAGACGTTTCTAAATAGCATAGCAGTAATGACTTTATGAACTTCTTTACTTAAAAGATTGATAATATCAGGAAAAAAAAAAAAAAAGAGAACTATGCAACCGCCTACTACAGTATCACATCTTAGACAGTGCATTGTAGTCTCCCTGAGGAAAAATTTGTTTCATTCATTGCTAAAGGAGAGGAAGAATTTTCTAAACTTGTTTAATCATCTCAAAATGCTAGACCCTATACCGACTAAGTTACCGAAATAGATGCTTCCAGGGGTCATAGATTCTCATCCTAATATCATTAATTCGCCTTTTTCTCTATGATACGTACCAAAAACCTTTAAGCTGGCTATGATTAAACCGCTTGTTAAAAAAACGCAACTTGATCCTACAGAATTAGTCAATTACAGGCCAATCTCGAATATGCCTTTTCTGTCAAAGATACTGGAAAAAGCAGTATCCTCACAACTGTGTTTCCTGCGAGTATTTTCAATCAGGATTTAGACCACATCATAGTACCGAGTCAGCTCTCATTAGAGTCACAAATGATCTGCTCTTATCTTATCTTATCTTATAGTGTTACTTGATCTTAGTGCTGCATTTGATACAATCGACCACAACAATCTTTTAAATAGACTCGAAAATTATGTTGGCATAGTGGAACTGCACTAGCATGCTGTTAAATCATACTTATCTGACCGTTATCAATTTGTAGCAGTAAATGAAGAGATGTCATATCGATCACAAGTTCAGTATGGTGTACAACAAGGCTCAGTACTAGGACCATTACTGTTTACTCTATACATGCTGCCATTAGGAGATATCATTAGGAAACATGGAATTAGCTTTCACTGTTATGCTGATGATACTCAGCTCTATATTTCTTCACGCCCTGACGAAACTGACCAATTCACAAAATTAACAGAATGCATAGCTGATATAAAACATTGACTAGCAATTTCCTACTACTAAACTCTGAAAAAAACAGAAATTATTTTTGGGAAAAAAATAATTATTGGAAAAACAACAACAACAAAAAAACTTCTTCACATAATAACCTGTCTAACACTTGATGGCTGCTCTGTTAAAGGGTTAGTTCACCCAAAAATGAAAATTAAGTCATTAATTACTCACCCCCATGCTGTACCAACCCCGTAAGACCTTCGTTCGTCTTCGGAACACAAATAAAGATATTTTTGATTAAATGTGAGAGCTGTATAACTACCACATTGGCTGCCTAAGGGACTGCCTCTTGACGGCCCAGAAAGTCAATGAAGAAAATGTTTAAATATCCCAAGTGACTACCGTGGCTCAACTATATGTTTATCAAGCGACGCGAATACTTTTTGTGCGAAAAAACAAACAAAAATAATGAGTTTATTCGACTATTTCTTTTCTTCCTTGTAGGCCAGAACGAGACTTCCTTAGATTTCCACGACGCATGCGCGAGATTTGCGATCTGCTTACACCAGCTTACACTACTTCAGATCGCAATTCTCGCGCATGCGTCGTGGAAATCTATAAGGAAGTCTCGTTCTGGCCTACAAGGAAGAAAAGAAATAGTCGAATAAACTCGTTATTTTTGTTTGTTTTTTCGCACAAAAAGTATTCGCGTCGCTTGATAAACATATAGTTGAGCCACGGTAGTCACTTGGGATATTTAAACATTTTCTTCATTGACTTTCTGGGCCGTCAAGAGGCAGTCCCTTAGGAGCCAATGTGGTAGTTATACAGCTCTCAAATTTAATCAAAAATATCTTCATTTGTGCTCCGAAGACGAACGAAGGTCTTACGGGGTTGGTACAGCATGGGGGTGAGTAATTAATGACTTAATTTTCATTTTTGGGTGAACTAACCCTTTAAGTCTTCGTCGTCGGTTAGGAACTTGGGTGTGACCTTTGATACCAATCTCTCATTTGAAAGTCACGTGTCCAGTATCTGTAAAACCGTAGAATCCGAACGAATAGTTTATTCGTTCATGACATCAAGACTAGATTACTGTAATGCTCTACCATCACCCTGATCCCATCAAAACCTCAACCAGCAACATTAAACCCTAGTTTCTCATTTGTCGTTACCTTCGGCAGCCAGGAGTGTGTTCCTAACGTAAAGCTCCAGGTCCTCTGCTCCTTTGCGGCTCCTCTCAGCATCAGCTGCCGTCTGCTCCCCATCAGCAGACACTTTAGTTGCCTACATGGAAAGAAAAAGAAGAAATAACTCTGAAAGCTCAATGAAATTTGACATAACCTCAGATCAGCCTCGCATGATCTACCGCAACTGTGTGAAGGAGAAACAAACACACAAGCAACCGACCTCAGTAACACCACACGGAGGAGAAAAACAACAAGACACATTAGATCTGACATCTCTGGGGCCAACTTGGACAAAAACTAAAATAAATACTGTTAAACTACAACATTTCCAGTTTGGCAAAGAGTATTTGGAAGGTAAAAGTTACACAATCCCAAAAAGGAAGAAGAAGAGCGCAAAGGTCTCCCTATTTAACTGGCTCTTGAACTTCTGTTATTTACAAAAAGGCTGCTTTAGAACTGAAATATATCAACTTTATCAAGACGCAGACGCCTCTATAAAGAAGATGCTGAAAGGTTCCCTTCAGCACAAATGAGCAGAACTGATGCAACACTTCAGACTTCAATAAGTTAATGTTCTGGCTTTCTTTCATGTTCAGAAACAAAACAACAAGGTCAGAGTCTTCCAGGAGTGATTCAGGTGGCGTGTAAAGTACAGTTTAACCAATCACAGGAGATTTACACAGAAACCTATGGTGCATATCAGAGAAAAACATGCCCGGTTGTTTACCTCTATAAATATAAAGGAATGTGTGACAATGTAATGTGTGGAATTAAAAATCAGTCTGATACAGTAGCCACACCCCAATCTCTCAGTCTGATACAGTAGCCACACCCCAATCTCTCAGTCTGTTACAGTAGCCACGCCCCAATCTCTCAGTCTGTTACAGTAGCCACGCCCCAATCTCTCAGTCTGATACAGTAGCCACACCCCAATCTCTCAGTCTGATACAGTAGCCACACCCCAATCTCTCAGTCTAATACGGTAGTCACACCCCAATCTTTCAGTCTGCTACAGTAGCCACGCCCCAATCTCTCAGTCTGCTATAGTAGCCACACCCCAATCTCTCGTCTGGTACAGTAGCCACACCCCAATCTCTCAGTCTGATACAGTAGCCACACCCCAAACTCTCGGTCTGATACAGTAGCCACGCCCCAATCTCTCAGTCTGTTACAGTAGCCACACCCCAATCTCTCGTCTGGTACAGTAGGCACGCCCCAATCTCTCAGTCTGATACAGTAGCCACACCCCAATCTCTCAGTCTGTTACAGTAGCCACACCCCAATCTCTCGTCTGGTACAGTAGCCACGCCCCAATCTCTCAGTCTGATACAGTAGCCACGCCCCAATCTCTCAGTCTGTTACAGTAGCCACACCCCAATCTCTCGTCTGGTACAGTAGCCACGCCCCAATCTCTCAGTCTGGTACAGTAGCCACGCCCCAATCTCTCAGTCTGATACAGTAGCCACACCCCAAACTCTCGGTCTGATACAGTAGCCACACCCCAATCTCTCAGTCTGATACAGTAGCCACACCCCAATCTCTCAGTCTGTTACAGTAGCCACGCCCCAATCTCTCAGTCTGTTACAGTAGCCACGCCCCAATCTCTCGTCTGGTACAGTAGCCACGCCCCAATCTCTCAGTCTGGTACAGTAGCCACGCCCCAATCTCTCAGTCTGATACAGTAGCCACACCCCAAACTCTCGGTCTGATACAGTAGCCACACCCCAATCTCTCAGTCTGATACAGTAGCCACACCCCAATCTCTCAGTCTGTTACAGTAGCCACGCCCCAATCTCTCAGTCTGTTACAGTAGCCACACCCCAATCTCTCGTCTGGTACAGTAGCCACGCCCCAATCTCTCAGTCTGGTACAGTAGCCACGCCCCAATCTCTCAGTCTGATACAGTAGCCACACCCCAAACTCTCGGTCTGATACAGTAGCCACACCCCAATCTCTCAGTCTGATACAGTAGCCACACCCCAATCTCTCAGTCTGTTACAGTAGCCACGCCCCAATCTCTCAGTCTGTTACAGTAGCCACGCCCCAATCTCTCAGTCTGATACAGTAGCCACACCCCAATCTCTCAGTCTGTTACAGTAGCCACGCCCCAATCTCTCAGTCTGATACAGTAGCCACGCCCCAATCTCTCAGTCTGATACAGTAGCCACACCCCAATCTCTCAGTCTGATACAGTAGCCACACCCCAATCTCTCAGTCTAATACGGTAGTCACACCCCAATCTCTCAGTCTGCTACAGTAGCCACACCCCAATCTCTCAGTCTGATAAAGTAGTCACACCCCAATCTCTCAGTCTAATACGGTAGTCACACCCCAATCTCTCAGTCTGCTACAGTAGCCACACCCCAATCTCTCGTCTGATACAGTAGCCACGCCCCAATCTCTCAGTCTGCTATAGTAGCCACACCCCAATCTCTCGTCTGGTACAGTAGCCACACCCCAATCTCTCAGTCTGATACAGTAGCCACACCCCAAACTCTCGGTCTGATACAGTAGCCACGCCCCAATCTCTCAGTCTGTTACAGTAGCCACACCCCAATCTCTCGTCTGGTACAGTAGGCACGCCCCAATCTCTCAGTCTGATACAGTAGCCACACCCCAATCTCTCAGTCTGTTACAGTAGCCACACCCCAATCTCTCGTCTGGTACAGTAGCCACGCCCCAATCTCTCAGTCTGATACAGTAGCCACGCCCCAATCTCTCAGTCTGTTACAGTAGCCACACCCCAATCTCTCGTCTGGTACAGTAGCCACGCCCCAATCTCTCAGTCTGGTACAGTAGCCACGCCCCAATCTCTCAGTCTGATACAGTAGCCACACCCCAAACTCTCGGTCTGATACAGTAGCCACACCCCAATCTCTCAGTCTGATACAGTAGCCACACCCCAATCTCTCAGTCTGTTACAGTAGCCACGCCCCAATCTCTCAGTCTGTTACAGTAGCCACGCCCCAATCTCTCAGTCTGATACAGTAGCCACACCCCAATCTCTCAGTCTGTTACAGTAGCCACGCCCCAATCTCTCAGTCTGATACAGTAGCCACACCCCAATCTCTCAGTCTAATACGGTAGTCACACCCCAATCTCTCAGTCTGCTACAGTAGCCACACCCCAATCTCTCAGTCTGATAAAGTAGTCACACCCCAATCTCTCAGTCTAATACGGTAGTCACACCCCAATCTCTCAGTCTGCTACAGTAGCCACACCCCAATCTCTCGTCTGATACAGTAGCCACGCCCCAATCTCTCAGTCTGCTATAGTAGCCACACCCCAATCTCTCGTCTGGTACAGTAGCCACACCCCAATCTCTCAGTCTGATACAGTAGCCACACCCCAAACTCTCGGTCTGATACAGTAGCCACACCCCAATCTCTCAGTCTGTTACAGTAGCCACACCCCAATCTCTCGTCTGGTACAGTAGCCACGCCCCAATCTCTCAGTCTGATACAGTAGCCACACCCCAATCTCTCAGTCTGTTACAGTAGCCACACCCCAATCTCTCGTCTGGTACAGTAGCCACGCCCCAATCTCTCAGTCTGATACAGTAGCCACGCCCCAATCTCTCAGTCTGTTACAGTAGCCACACCCCAATCTCTCGTCTGGTACAGTAGCCACGCCCCAATCTCTCAGTCTGGTACAGTAGCCACGCCCCAATCTCTCAGTCTGATACAGTAGCCACACCCCAAACTCTCGGTCTGATACAGTAGCCACACCCCAATCTCTCAGTCTGATACAGTAGCCACACCCCAAACTCTCGGTCTGATACAGTAGCCACACCCCAAACTCTCGGTCTGATACAGTAGCCACGCCCCAATCTCTCAGTCTGTTACAGTAGCCACACCCCAATCTCTCAGTCTGGTACAGTAGCCACGCCCCAATCTCTCAGTCTAATACGGTAGTCACACCCCAATCTCTCGTCTGGTACAGTAGCCACGCCCCCAATCTCTCAGTCTGATACAGTAGCCACACCCCAAACTCTCGGTCTGATACAGTAGCCACACCCCAATCTCTCAGTCTGATACAGTAGCCACGCCCCAATCTCTCAGTCTGATACAGTAGCCACACCCCAAACTCTCGGTCTGATACAGTAGCCACACCCCAATCTCTCAGTCTGATACAGTAGCCACACCCCAAACTCTCAGTGTGATACAGTAGCTACGCCCCAATCTCTTTCTGATACAGTAGCCACGCCCCAATCTCTTTCTGATACAGTAGCCACGCCCCAATCTCTTTCTGATACAGTAGCCACGCCCCAATCTCTCAGTCTGATACAGTAGCCACGCCCAAACGTATGTTTCTAACTCACCCGGCTGAGCAGTTCGTCCATTTCGGTGACCAGACTGCCCAGGTTACTGTCGGCCAGCTGAAGCAGTCTCTCTGGCGCTCTTTGTGGGGAAAGCATGTGCTGCAAAGCCAGGAGGATGAAATATTATTATCATGAGCATATTAACTGACAGGTGGAGTCATGTCACCATGGAAACCAGGATGACACAGGAGTGTCGTCCATGAAGTTTCTGGCCCATGAGGCTTCATTTGACATCACTGAATTATGAATCATTTTTTATGAATAATTCCAGAAGAGCCATAAATGCAAAACATTTTATCATTTGTAAACAACTCAAATATAGATGCTAATTAGCACTAGATCAGTCTATTTGATGAGATCAATGTTTTTTTTTCCAAATTAATCAAATCATTTTTAGGTTATTATTATTGTTTTTTTTCAGTGTAGAGAGCATACAAACAATCAAAGTTCCAGCAGAATACTTTACAGACATTTCTGATGTGTGTATCCATGTGCATCTTGTAAATAAAATAGATATATAAAATTAGGACTGAATGTCAATTGATTATATCCATGATTACAAACAGAGGAAAGTCCTAAAATGAAGATAATTGGAGAAAATTTAGTAAATCATTAAACCGACAATACAACAAGTGACAACAAGTCAGTATATTGTAATTGTATTTCATATCATTCTATCACTGGCCTAGTCAGCAGATTTCCTGTTTGCAAATGAGTTTATGAATTGGAGGTAGACATAGGTAGCATCTTTTTCAATGCAATAATGCATCCATACATTAGTGCACAGCACTGACAGTAAAAATCATCATGACTGTTGAATGCTCAGGACCCTATGCAGCCCAACTTGCTCACCTTCAGCTCCTCTGTCATGTTCTCGAACCGATAGAGCACTTTATATGGCAGGGGGAGGGGCAGAGTGAGGTTGACACTGCCAATCAAACGCAGCAAACGCTCCATGTCACGAATCAAGAGCCCTGCGCAGTCATCGTCACACGCTGAAACACAGAGACTGGGATCAACACATGACAACACATCAGACTCCAACAGTATCACATGCACATAGACTCCCACAGGCAGAGTTCACACTGCATGCTGTGTCCATTAGAAGCCACCGTACAAGGTCACATGAAAAAAAAAAAACCCTCAGATAATCATATTCATGATCAAGGTTCAAAGGTCCATGTGTGCTGCATCAATATGGGAACATTAGTGGACAGTAACTAGTATTTTATCACCTACGGTAAGTGCTTCATTCGGTACAGTTACTTAATCAGAGTATTTTCATCTTGAGAAACGCTTAAAATTAATAATAATGACATCTTACTCGTGAAAAAACAATTTTATTTCAGCTAGTCGGCAAAGCAACATTTCTCATTTTCAATGAGTTTAACTTAATAACCCAAACTAAAAGTAAACTGAAATAGAATGAATAAAAACTATACAGACATAGACACGAATAAAAATGACTAAAACCTAAATAAAAATAAAAACAGATATACAAAAATGGTTGTATATAAATATGCTGCATGACAAATAACTTTAAAGGGGAGTGGTTTTGAACTCAACATTTAAACTCTTAACAGGAACTGAACAAGGAATAAAGAGACTGTTAGACTAGCTCCGCCTTCTGGACGCCGTGTCACAGAGCCATACCGAGTACACCTGAGGAACGAGCGAGGGGGCTTTGGAGGAGGACGTGGAGCTGGTGACGGGCAGGGAAGAGGAGGAGTTGGTGGAGACAGACGCCGTAGTGGAGCTTTCGCTGAAGGGCTGGGTGCCCTAGAGGAACCGGTGGAGCAGAGAGGCCGGCGGGCCAGGGTGGAGACATGGGCGTGTAGGCTCAAGGTGAGCTGGTATTCAGCCTTACGCCGAGGTGGTGGAGGGGAAGCTTAAGCTTAAAGGATTAGTTCACTTTTGAAAAAAACTTTTGCTGATAATTTACTCACCCCCATGTCATCCAAGATGTCCATGTCTTTCTTTCCTCAGTCGAAAAGAAATTAAGGATTTTGATTTAAACATTCCAGGATTTTTCTCCATATAATGGACTTCAATGGGAACCGGATGGTTCAAGTATCAAAAGACGGTTAATAACAGTTTCAGATGCAGCTTCAAATGTCTTTAAACGACACCAGACGATGAATCAGGGTCTTATCATGCGAAACGATCGGTTATTTCAAAGCTTATTCCAAAAATGTAACTTTTCTAAGGACAAATGCTAGCCTTGCTATATTCTGTGAGGCGCGTTTGCAACGTCACGTATTACGTAATTACGTTCAAAAGGTCACGGGTGACGTAGCCGAAAGTACAGAGTCAGTGTTTACAAGTTGAACGCATAGGTTGAACGTGCAAACTAACTCAAACACCGTTTACAAAAAAAGGAATTAGAAGGAAAAACAACGATGTCGGACGATTTTGATTCAGTACTTTCGGCTACGTCGCCCGTGACCTTTTGAACGTAATTACGTATTACGTAACGTTACAAACGCGCCTCAGAGAATATAGCAAGGCTAGCATTTGTCCTTAGAAAAGTTACCTTTTTGAAATAAGCTTTGAAATAACTGATCGTTTCGCATGATAAGACCCTTATTCATGGTCTGGTGTCGTTTAAAGACATTTGAAGCTGCATCTGAAACTGTTATTAACTGTCTTTTGGACCTTGAACCATCCGGTTCCCATTGAAGTCCATTATATGGAGAAAAATCCTGGAATGTTTTCATCAAAAACCTTAATTTCTTTTCGACTGAGGAAAGAAAGACATGGACATCTTGGATGACATGGGGGTGAGTAAATTATCAGCAAAAGTTTTTTCAAAAGTGAACTAATCCTTTAATAACCCAAACTAAAAGTAAACTGAAATAGAATTAATAAAAACTATATAGACATATACATAGACACTAAGAAAAATGACTAAAACCTAAATAAAAATAAAAACAGATATACAAAAATGGTTGTACATAAATATGCTGCATGACAAATAACTTTAAAGGGGAGTGGTTTTGAACTCAACATTTAAACTCTTAACAGGAACTGAATAAGGAATAATGAGACTGTTACAGTAGCTCCGCCTTCTGGACGCCGTGTCACTGAGCCATACCGAGTACACCTGAGGAACGAGCGAGGGGGCTTTGGAGGAGGACGTGGAGCTGGTGACGGGCAGGGAAGAGGAGTTGGTGGAGACAGACGCCGTAGTGGAGCTTTGGCTGAAGGGCTGGGTGCCCTAGAGGAACCGGTGGAGCAGAGAGGCCGGCGGGCCAGGGTGGAGACATGGGCATGTAGGCTCAAGGTGAGCAGGGATTCAGCCTTACGCGGTGGTGGAGGGGAAGCTTAAGCTTAACCAGCGGAGGAGACAGGACTAGGAAAACAGGGGGGAATGCCGGAGGGAGCAGATTTCCGGACGGGACCAGCGAAGACGGTGAAGATTCGAGGGTGGGGACCTGGGGACGGAACTTCAGAGGGACTACAGATCTCCGCTCCTGGTTTTGAGATGGACTGAGCCTCATGCGAAAAGCTGACTTCTGCCTGATGAAACTACAAACTATTTTTAGCAAAACAATTCTTCAATTTTTTATAATTCTGACTCTTAAATTAAATTGTATTACATTGACTGTACTTTTAAAGCGTTAGTTCACCCAAAAATGAACCTTCTGTCAGTAATTACTCACCGCTTCTGTGTTATACGTCACACGCATCACACCGGCGTCGGCCAACGTGTGAGCCTACGTGTGACTTATAACACAGAAGCGCTACGCTGTTCTCGAGGCCCACAGAGAAGGAAATAGATAGTTGAATAAAGTGGTTATTTTTGTTTGTTTTTTTGCGCACAAATATTATTCTCGTCGCCACTGTAGTCACTCAGACTATTTTAACAATGTCTTTGAATACTTTTCTTGGCCGACCAGTTTCAATCCCTTAAGAAGCCTATGGAGGAGTGATCCAGCTCTCAGATTTAATCAGAAATACGCACAGCTTCTAAGCGGGGTAAAGTTAGTTTTTTTTTTTTGATATTGACCAGACCTTCATTGAAAAATGGCAATTACCTCCTAAACGACTTAGCCAAATATGACTTCGCTCTATATAATAAGCACTGCCCCTCAAAAGCGCCGCAATGCGAGTTTCGGCGGGAAAGCTCGCTCTTGACGGAGACGCGAGTAAGGGGCCGTGTGGAAAGTGCACTTTTTCTGACACGTTTGTTCAAACACTATAAACAATTTTCAACACTTGACAAGCTATAATCCTGGTTATGGCCGTTCCGTTGCCGACAATCTCTGCCTACGGTTTACCAATAACAACTGACTGGGTCATGTGACCAATCGCCGCAGATTCGCGTCACTCAAAGGAGGTGTTTGGGAAAATGAATCGTCGAACAAATCATTTGGGTAGTCGTTGAGCCAATCGGGTAAAAATAAATGCATATTATAAGACAAATAAAGTGTTTTTTATACTTGCATGCACGTCAAACTGTTTTTGGGGACTCCTAAAACAAAAATAGGAACATTTCAAATGCTATGATAGGGGCTCTTTAAAAACAAGGACAAATACATGTACTGGAGTAATATTTGAGCAGGGCATTACTATCCATCCCTGTCTGTGAATATAGAGTTCAGGGGCAGACTGGCCATCTGTGTGATCTGGAGAATAACCAACACTATCTCACGACCAATTCGTACGAATTCGACGCATGATTAAAAAGTGTCTAATTCGTACTAATTCATACGACCTCACTCGTACTAATTCGTACGATTTGTCTAAACCCACGTGATGGTTAAGTTTAGGGGCGGGGTAAGGGGTAGGTCATTCGTACGAATTCATACGAATTGGCCAATTCGTAAAATATGTACGATTTAGCAAAATCGTATTAATTCGTACGAGTGAGGTCGTATGAATTGTTATTCGTCGAATTCGTACGACTTGGTCGTGAGATCGGGTTGGAATAACTGAACTCTAGGACGGCCTGCGGGACGGCCCCCCACCCGCCACACACGCAGTCACAGACATCCCGGAAGTACCGGGAGTCTCCCGCGTATTGATAGCGGCTCCCTGATGCCCGCAAATTAGTTAAAATTTCCCGGAATCTAGAGCGAGCGAGAGCGCGCATGCGTAGCGCACACGGCAGAGAGAGGGAGCGAGCGAGAGACCTTGCGTGTGTGTGCTAGTGTGCGCGTGTGCCTCACGAAGCGCATGTACACTCTTAGAAGAAAAGGTTCTATATAGAACCTTAAAAGGTTCTATCAGCGCTACATATTTGAAACCCCTAAAAGGTTCTATACACTCTTAAAAAAAAGTTCCTCTGGGTTCTACTTGGCCAATAGAACCTTTTACCAACAAAAAAAAATGGTTCTATATAGAACCATTTTGGAGTTCCATATATGAAGCGGGGGATGGAACCATTGCTGGTTCTAAATAGAACCATTTCTTCTAAGAGTGTAAGGACCCAACCAATCAATTCTCAGTGCGGGCGGGCTTTTGTCTCTACTACTCCCTAACCGAATGAATCAGAAATTACTTTGCAAGTTACTTGGTAACAACGATGTTAGGAAGTGGTATTATTATTTGTGCAGTAGCTAAGATTAATTACTAGATAAATTAATTAAGATTATTAAGTAATAAATTCATTTTAAGGCAGCATGGAATTGTTTGTATAATAGGCTGTTAGCTATAATTTGGATGGTATAGTATCACAATTAAAGTCTTGTGACACTCATGCCGGGCGGCAGGCGTTATTGTTGTTGCCGAGTTTCCACGCGGCGATTGGTTTGGACCGGGCCGCGTCAAAGTCCAGGACCGTTTTTTAATCCCTGGTAGAGTTAGTGTGTGTGTGTGTGTGTGTGTGTGTGTGAGATGGTAGGTTTTGAGGAGGATTAGTGTAAGTGGAGAGAATATAGATGTACAGTATAAAAACCATTACATCTATTGTACTGTATGTCCCCATTTAGATAGCTAAGTAAACATGAGTGCGTGTGTGTGTGTGTGTGAGAGCGAGAGGGCACACGCTGTCTGAAAGGACAACCATGTTAACATCCAAGGATGGACAGGTCCTGGGGCGAGAATGCTGTTAACGAATGTCATTGGCCTCTTCTGTCTTCCATCCTCTGCTATCACAACATCACTTGCACTCATCCAATATCCATGCATAGTGTCCCTTCACCTGCACCTCTCTCTCTCTCTCTCGATTAAACGTGAACGCGGTGGAAACTCCAGGGAGAAGGACTTCTCAAGCGTGAAATTTAACACTGAGTGTGAAACAGCTCCTGGCCGCCTATTATGAGTGTCTGACACGCCACAAGCGACAGCGGGAGGAGAGAGACACCAGCAGGTGCGTGGCTCTCGCCCGGACAGAAAGCGCCGCTCAATTTAACCTCCTGAAAAAATGGAGCTATTAAGATTTCTAGCGAGGAAGTCTTTCACACACAACGCAGAGTGAGTACAGGTGTGAAGAGACCTGAGAAGAGAAAGGCTGCACTGAAGAGTTCATTGTTCCTCGGGGTTTTTTACGCCCGTTTTTTTAAGTTACATGATCACATTAGTTTTAGTTTATTACACATCCCTTTAAAAGTTACATTAAAAGTCATTTCATTATAGTTATATGCAATTTAAAGTGCTTTAGCTGCTGCAAACACTTTGAACCTGATACGGTATAATTCACGTGAGACTGAGATCAATAAAATCATCATCATAATAATTATCAGGGCTGTCAAACGATTAATCGCGATTAATCGCATCCAAAATAAAAGTTTGTGTTTACATAATATATGTGGGCGCACTGTGTATAATTATTTTATATTTATAAATACACACACATGCTTGTATATATATTTAAGAAATATTTTCATGTATATAGATTTATATATAATTTAAATTATATATAAATATAAATATTATATATTTAAATAACATTTTTTTGTGTATATATACAGTATATACTAGGGCTGGGTAATAAATATCGATTTCTCGATATTAATCGATTCTCATTTTTACGAACCGATATCGATTCTTAAGTCTCAAGAATCGATTAGTCATCCTGTTTCATTTGAATGAATGGATCATTGTTTCGCGGCTGCGCGCATTCAAAAAAATCGCAATAATCTTTGTCCTTTGTTACTATTGATATGAAACAAAGTCTCAATTTCCAAATTACGTCCATTTTCTTTAGAAATTCAAAAACATAAATAGCGTTTTGGCGCTGTGGCGTGAGATCGCTCTGGAGAAGCAGCAGCTCTGATCTCTCTTCCGGCTTAATAATACCAGTCACAGCGCCAAATAAACATGAATGAGCATCTGAAAGTGTGTTAAAGATAGAGTACAACTTATCCAAATCCGGATCATGTCACATTGATTCACTCAATCAGCGTTTCAACCGAGGAAAGACGTCAGTTAAACAGCTTGTAATCAATGTCATGTATCGTCATATTTACCTCAGAAAACCCACATCAACTCGTTAGTCAGCTAGAAAAAATAACTCCAGAGAGGAGCATTTTGATAATTATATACACTATATTACATATGCATTATAATCTTAAAGTTCTTCAATATTTAATAAATCTGGCAAGTTTTTATGACATTTAAATGTTTATATTTCATATAATCTTCTTATTATAAAAATAAATAAAAGTGTAATTTAAGTGATTCATTCATTATTATCTTCATATTTGAATAAATCTGGCAAATTTTTATGACAGCCACCATTTAAATGTTTATATTTCATATAATCTTCTTATTATAAAAATAAATAAAAGTGTAATTTAAACGATTCATTCATTATTACCTTCTATTTGGCTAATGAAGCCTAGTAGGCTACAACTAGCCTATTCGAATCGAATTGAAAGCTTGTGAATCGAAATCGAATCGAATTGTGAAATTTGTCTCAATACCCAGCCCTAATATATACAGTATATACAAAATGATTATACACAGTGTACCCACATATATTATATAAACACAAACTTTAATTTTGGATGCGATTAATCGCGATTAATCGTTTGACAGCCCTAATAATTATTAATTTAAAATGTGATATATTATACATTTAAATTGCAAATAATAACTTTTGAATTGTTGTACTTTAAAATATACTGATCATACAATTAAATCAATTACTATTTCAACAATTCTTTTATATTGTAAAATAAATAAATAAATAAATCAACAAAAAAGCATTTAAAAAATAAATAATACAAATATTAATATCTTACAGAACAATACTAAAATGACAATTATTTCTCAGGACAGAAAACTCTAATTTGATGCAACACAAGTCACGCAAACACACAGCCAGAAAAAAACACATGCATAATTACCCAATCTGTCCAGTCACACGATGATAAACAGCCGATCGCTGACGCACACACAGTGTGAGGAGCAGGTGCTGCGACACACACCACAATCTGATCTCTGCGAGCTCAGGCCACAATTACCGCACAAGTAAACACTCGTTTTGTGAGGGGAAATCTGAGCATGTCTAGTTAAACCGTTGTTTGTTTTGGCTGCATCTCTCCTCTGGTGTTTATGGCACGGAGGGAACAGACCAGATCAGCTTAACCAATAATATTCACTCACATGTGGAAGCCTTAAAGGTACGCTACCAAAACAGCTGAGTGGTGTGAAGTGTGTGTTAGTGCAGGGGCGATACGTACACACGATGCCCTCAGGGCCACACACATGCCTCTCCATGCACCGGTCACACTTCCGTCCGCTGGCACCGGGACGGCACTGGCACTGTCCGGAGCGCGCGTCACACACTGCGGGGAACGCCCCGTACGCGTCACACTTACACTCCTCGCAGCGGCCGCCCAACACACTCGGGTCACCGTGGAAGCCAGGAGCGCACCTGAGGACAGCCGTTACACTTTTCAGAAACACCGTAAACGTAAATTACTGTAAACACTGCATCTGTGCCGACACATTAGTGACAGATTCAGACGTGTGAGGAGGAGCAGCTGGACGGATGTGTCTTCACCTTTCACAGTGTCTGCCCTCGTAGCCCTCGGGACAGGCGGTGCAGCGGTAGCCGTTATAGCCCTCGCTCTCACAGGCCGGACTGAAGCTGAGGAACAGAGGCCACAGTTGCTGCATGAGAGCGTGTGTGAGTGTGTGTGTGTGTGTGTGGGTGTCTTACTTGTTCTCAGGGTTGAGCAGTGGACAGGCACAGGGTTTGCAGTCGTCAGGAAAGCCTCTCACTTCCCCATAAAAGCCCGTAGCGCATCGCTCACATCGCTCCCCCTCTGTGTTATGCTGACAATCCTAGAAAGAACACAACATACTGTTATAACTAACACTACTAACTTGAACCATTCAGTGTGTTATAATAAGCACATAATAGTTATAACAGAATGAAATCGAAATTTTAATTAACCCTTGTGCATCCTTATGGGCATTTTTGTCCTTTTCAGTTTTGTTTTTTTTGATCACTTTGCCTGTGTTAAAGCTAACTGCAAAAAACTTGTGATTTTATTGGAATTTTACTATTTCACCGCCATTTTCTTAAAGAAATATATTTTTTTGCATTAGGTACAAAAAATACTTTTGGACAAAAATGTCCCCATTGAAACCCATTAAAACTGCCATTTTTAAATCCCCGGTTCAGTTAACGATAAAATTATGCAATATTTGTTAAGAGGCTTTCATTCTGATGGCAAGGCTTCAAAATTTTATTTTTGACTATTTTTTTATTAGATGGTGCCATTTTTTTTTTTAAGTTTGGCCTATAAAACAAATATCGCTTTATTCATGTTTTCTGGTTCGGCATATTATAGAGCCAACTGGATAAATTATGCAACGATATTTGTGTGGGTGTGTTGGTATGGATGTCAGAGTGTGGTTAGTATGTGTGTTATAAATAAATATGTGTGTGTGTTTGTAATACTGAGAGAGAAAAACTGCAAATTCAAATCCAATCACTGTGAGCTCCAGTGGGGTTTTGCTGGCACCCAATGGGGAAAATATGTTACTACGCCCAAACAAACTGTTCCCCAAAGCTCATTTTTTCAGATATCATCCTCAAATTTGGAACACAACCTATTTAGATTTATGGCTTTGATTTTATTGCAGTTTTGAGTTCAACCTGATTTATAAATATATATTTTATATAAAATATTTTTTATAAACTTATACCTATATAACTTTTTTTTTGGATTTACTTATTATTTTTTTATTTCAGCAATAATCTGCAAATGGTCTTCTTTAAAATGATACCAAACTTAAGTCTGTGCTCCAAAGCATCACATTTTTATTTTTCACATTTTTGTCCTCTTTTTACCTATGTGTAACTTTTTTTAATTGATGCACAAGGGTTAAATGACCTGTCACTTGACACTCTGCTTCATTTGCTCACCCAATAACGCATGCTAATGTCTGTGTGTTGGGCACATATTCATATAAGCAATTAACTGAATTCAATTAAAATTGCAGCTCTAACTATAGCATATAATCACTTTGGTTAAAACTTGCAAACAGTCTACAGAACGAATTAATACTAATATAGCCTGTCTATAAGCACATGAAAACATTCACGCAAAAAGCTCTCTCTATCAATCTAATTGTTAATACATTAAAATATGACCATACATTTCTCCCAGTACAAATTTATGCATTTCTTAAGTCTCACAGCAGGAATGAGAAGAGAAAGCAGAGAGAGAGAGTAATCAGACTGCTGAAGCTGCGCTTTACTGGTCCGTGTCGCTCGGAAACTTTCATTAACTTCCTGTGTACCTCAATTACTCAAATTACCCCCCATACACACTCGTTTACCATTTTCAATTTGCGAAAACCCGTAAAATGCAAATGATATTGGTATTAGTATGCATGCGACTGAACGCATAAACGGGCTGGCTGTTTACTGTTTAGAGAACTTAACTGGATTGAGTGTGTTAGTGTGTGAGAGAGAACTGCACTGGACTAAGTGTGTGTGCGTGTGTGTGTGTGTGTGTGAGAGAGAACTGCACTGCCCAGACCTGATTCTTCTGATGTGCTTTACTCCATTTACAGTAAAATGCTGCTGGATCCAGTCTGCCACATTCTACATTTCCACAGTAACAAAGTACATTTTTATTCTACTTGCATACATTCCATAAAAACATGTTGTTCCTCATTAATTCGAACCATGCGTGATAATTCCTTTGGATTTAAAATATCCCCACATCATCACACACCTTCCACCACACCTAGACTAGAGATTGGCATGGGGTACTTTCCATAAGATCATCTTTCAATGCAAATCAAACCAGCTATTAGGCTAACTGAAGTACAACCATGCCAATCTCTAGGTGTGGTGGAAGGTGTGTGATGATGTGGGGATATTTTAATTCCAAAGGCCAAGGGAACTTTATCAGGATGCATATTATCCTGGATCCATGAAATAACTGGCTTTTAAAAAATAAAAATCTGCCTGACTCTATGGGAATTTAACATAGGGGTGTCCTGACTTATGCACCCTGTATTTGAAGGAAACACATTTATTTATTTATGATACATTATTCATTCACAAAGAAAATTGGTGTACTTAAAGGTTAAAGTTTTCCTCATTTTTCTAATTTAGGCATTAAGATCAATATCCAAAAGATGATTTTTTATTCCTCTTTTTAGGCAACTTTAGCATGGGGGCAAACACTTATTCACACCACTGTACAAAGTTCTCAATGCTTCGTTTTGCATGTAGGGACCCGCATTATGTTCCTGTGTTAGTGTGGGGCTATTTTGAGCCTTGTTAGTGGTATGAACTAGCAATTATGCTCTCAAGTCAGGCCGGTTCTGAGAGCCGTTCAAAGATCACTATCTGGCACTATTTAGTTGGAAAATGGCCATTGAATAACTTCATCTGTACTGCTTATTGATATTGTTTCTAAGGGGTTGAACATACATCAGCCTAACACTACTATAATTCAACTCTGCAGCAGTGACTCGAGGCACGAGAGTCAGGAGGACTCAAACACACTTTGGTGAGGGCTGTACCTGGCAGACGGCTGTTTCAGGATCACACGAGTCGCTGTGTCCATGGCACTGGCATCGAACACAGCTCCCGAAGCCGGCTCTGGATGCGGCTCCACCAGTGTGAGCAGAAAGCCTGTAGAAACCGGCTGCACACTCCTGCGTAAGACATCACACACACAGTTAATCACACACCTCTACAAGGTTTAACAGCAACTGACTGCATAAGGAGAAGCTGATGATGAGTTATAATGTGAAGAGCTCATAGTTTTATTAGGATACATCACTCCAGTCCGGATGTTGCATGTGGTTTAAGAAACGTGATTTAATAGATTTAGCAAACTAAACAGAGCAAATAAGCGTAAGAGTAAAAAACCATAAAAGCACAGTGTGAGAGGAAAGTTGATCTACTGACGACACACACATTACAGAACAGAGACACATAATGACCAACAAAATCTACCAAGATCGAATAAGCGTTTTTTAGGTGGTAAATAATGGCACAAACACTAGTCAATAAATAAAAAAAAACAAAAAAACTCTCCACCCATAAAGTTTGCATTCAAAAGGGAAACTCCTACAAATGCATATGCAATAAAATCCGACACACAAAAAATAACCCTGCGCACGCATTTCCAGCGCTAATTTTTTTCTTTAACCAGACAGCGACATAGTATCGGCTCAGATCCGGGCCACACAAGCTGTTAGTAAAAAGACGTGTGAAGCTCAAACCCAGATCCAAAAATCCTCACTGGAAATTAGAGCCAGACCGATATATCGGCAGGCCGATATTAGTCATTTTCCAAACTATCGGTATCGGCAGTTATAATGGCCGATAAATGAATATTTCAAAAATAAAATAAAAACGGACGAAACACGCTTGAACGATGTCACGAGCGTTGGAGTTGTGTAGTTTGTCCACCAGAGGGCACTCTACACCGTTCCTGTTGGCAACACTCGTTACATACATTGCTTGAATAACAATTAAAAGATCATCCACATCAGTGCTCTTAACTCAAATAAGCATGACAACATTTGTGACTATCATGTCCAGTTTTGCTGCTGTTAAATAAGCCGAGAGTGAAGCGGGATTAGCTAGTAATAGTTACGTTACGTTGTTACAGTGTAGTTGACTGATTGTCCTTTTAACTTTTGACGATGTGACTGAAGTATTTCTTTAATAGCGCGTGACCGTTATAGCAATGAGACGTATCATCTCTCCTTGGACTGTTATATTGAAAATGTATGTTTTACAATTTGCAGTATGACGTTATCCATTGCTAAATTATGGTTCATCATAGACTAGCTAACCATAAAGCGAGCTAACGCCACTATCATCCGTCTGTTCTGTTGTGACGATAAAAAGAAACAAGTTTATTTTTAAAATGCATTATCATATTATTTTAGTTAAAACTCATAAATAACTAATGTTAGGGAAATCTGTTAATCTTTTGTTGCACGTTTCTGAAATAAAAAAATCAAATAAAAAATATCGGCCGATATATCGGAATATCGGATTTTAAAACCAACAAATATTTGTATCGGTATCGGCCTTCAAAATCCTTTATCGGTCGGGGTCCACAGGAAATCAATGAGTTTTGGTTTGTAGGAAACAGTGAAAAGGCTGTTTTGGCCGGTGTAATGGTGGAGCAGTTTTAACTTAGCATATATTCTCCTTTTTAGTAACACTGCTGTCTTAACTGGGATACATTGCATTAGTTTAACGTTTAGTGACTCCTGAGTGATCTACACTTAAAAACGTATAATAAAACAAAAGGGTAACACTTTACTTGAAGGGGTGTGCATACTGTAAGACTGACATTTCATTTTCATTTTATTTGGTTTATCATTAACAAATATACAGCAACAAATATTCAACTCATCATGATTAAACCAAAGGGTATAGGCTGAAGCTTAAGGCTTATTGAGGCCTATCCCTCTCAGTTTTTACAACAGTCAAACAGTGCTCAATTCTCTACTTGCAACACTTGAAACAACAATGTCATAGATTTTAATTACCCACACCTATCTATATGAAAGTATCATCTTGTTTCTTAGGAGACGTTTAAATCCACGTATTGTTTGTGTCAATTTTAGATCTGTATGCAAACAATTTCATGAATTCACTCCGCTTAGAGATAGTTCTACATCTAGTATTTGTTCGTACCTTCAGTTTTTTAAACAAACATATTCCTTTTAACTCATACTTACAGTATCGTTTCTCAAACATACTCAAAATTTTATCAGGCAGCATTTTATAATACACTTTATACATTATCAATGTAACCTTGTAATCCACTAAATCATACAATTTTAGAATGTTTAATTTTAAAAATAAATCGTTGGTATTGTGATTTTGTAATAATACGTAAAGCTCTCTTTTGTAAAATAAAAAGTGGTTGGGTGTATGTCTTAAACGTATTACCCCAAATCTCCAGACAATATGTTAATATGGAACAAATAATGATGCATATAACATAAATAATGCCTTCTTATTTAATAAGTTCCCAATCTTATTTAATATCGCAACTGTCTGAAATTTTAGATTTTACATAATATGCTTTTTCCACCCCAATCTAATATAACACCTATACTCTTTCTATTTCCTCCACCCCTATTCTTACTTTCACTTCAGTTACACTATTTTCACCCCAAATCATAAACTTGGTTTTACTCATATTCAGTGACAGCCTATTAATATCAAACCATTTCTTAACCCGTTCCATCTCCCTTTCCACATTTCTCACAATGTCTTTTAAATCTTTCCCAGAATAATAATAAAAAAAAAAATTGGTATCATCTGCAAAAAGAATAGGTTTGAGAACACATGAAACCCTACAGAGATCATTTAAATATAAAACAAACAATTTTGGTCCCAGGACCGAGCCCTGTGGAACCCCACAAAGAATTTTCAGGGGACTTGACATGATTCCATAGCTACCGCACGCATAATAATACCACATCTAAATGAAAATAGGCTACACCATTACAAATTTAACTTCTGTATTCAAAATCTTCAAAGTTTGTAAGCATTAACTTTAACGTTACCAACATTTTTAAAAGTAAAAGCACAACACATTCATTAATATTAGCTACTGCATGTGGCATTTTACAGCTAAAATGTCGGAGTTTAGCTGTTTTAACTACTGTAGCAAACTGAATATCACTTCCTAACATCATTGCTAACAAGTAACTTGCAAATGAATTTCTGATTAATTCAGTTTGGGAGTAGTAGCGACAAATTTGCGGGCGTCAGGGAGCTGCTATCAATATGCGGGAAACTGCGTATGTGGCGGGTGGTGGGCCGTCCTGGAGTTCAATTTTTCTCTTGATCACACAGATGGCCAGTCCGCCCCTGTCATGAGGCCATTACAACATTTTAATGACAAATTCAATGTGTAGGCTACCACTGTAGTTGAGGTCAAGAAAAATATTCATGACACAGATATAAATGCCTTATGACAGCCAAAATCTAAACCAACCACATGACAGATTGTGTCATACCATTATGCTAACCCATAAAGCTAAGTGGTCTCTTAAGTTTAATAATTATTCTGCTATATCATGTTTAAGACATATTACTGACAGGTACAAAGACACAAACCCATCTCAAACAATGTCATATTTGCATTGAAAATGTCATAATTGAGTGAATGACACTTAATGACAGTTGTAAATAAACCCTCCTTCATATTTTGTGACATTAGTCATGTCATGATTATGAAGGTGTCATGTCAGTCTTATGCACAGCCCCTTCAAGTAAAGTGTGACCAACACAAGAGTTATCTGGAGAATTTTAAGTTGTGAATCAGGCACTCTCAGATATCAAGATCAGAAAACAATAAACAACAGACTCTGAACATTATAGCAAGTAGTACTGTATAATTAATTCAGATTCTGCAGCGGACATTATTACAATTAATGTGTAAGAGGTTACAGACACACACACCATCACTGCGGTTCAACTAGTAAGCAGGAATGTGCTGTAAATCCACACTGAAATCTGTGAAACGTTCATACAGGGGAAAAATAGTCCTCCGTTGAAACCATGGCAACACTCCCTCTCACCCTCGCTCCTCAAAATTAATCGCGTCAATTTAGTACACCATCTGTTCGGGGTGAACTTGCTAAACGCCTGTTTAAAAATACTTTATTAAGCACAGTTTGAAACGTTTGAGAGTTACGGCCATCTGTCTCCACGCGGCCTCGTCCAGCCTGAATGTGAACAACTGACACTCGCTGATCTGTAATCGTCTGTCTCACACACTCCAGCTTGTTAAAGATCTCACACGAGCAGTCTGTGGGCGGAGACTGGCGGCGAGAGAGCGCTTTAACGCGTTAACAGTCTGAGAAGCAGAAACACTTGCTGTAATGATGAGCGATACACACACCCAGCTGTTCACGCCTGACACTCAATTATTAATGAATGTACAATCATTTGTCGCACTGACAAAGTGTCTTACTGACGTCATCTAGAACTTCTTCATCCACGCTTTCTTAATGTTAGAGTCACAAAGAAAGGCAATGCAAAGACTGGGGCTGCGTCAAACGCTGTGGGAACGCCCCTGCGTGAGTGCGTCATGAATCAGTCCAATGGCGAGACGGAAAGTCATAGGCGTGTGACGTCATCGACCAGGAAACTATAAAGCACCCCGAAATCAAACCGCGACAACTTCTGTCCCAACAGCAAGCTTGTTGTTTGTTTGTCATTTAGTGTCTACTAGGCAGGAGTTTTTCCACTATAAAAAAGAAAACTATATATATATATATATATATATATATATTAGGGCTGTCAGTTTAACACGTTATTAACGGCGTTAACGCAAACCCATTTTAACGGCGTTAATTTTTTTATCGCACGATTAACACTCTTTTTGTCCTAGCAAACTTTGTAGTTTTTTCACATGCTTTTGCAACAGGACGCGGCATGCGTCCTGGTCCATTTTGGCGTCTCGCGCTCGTCATCAACTCAAAGCCGGCTCAAAAGCCAAAACGTGTGTTTGCGGCGTGCCTGTTGTTTTGGTCAAAGAAGCAACAAAACGTCCTCGCGCGGCGCAAGCCATTGAAATGAATGTGTTTCAGAGCGCAGCGCGAGGACGTTTTGTGCCGCACACACTCGTTTCGGCTTGCGAGCCGGCCAAATAGTAACGTTACGTTTTGAGTGGATGACGAGCGCGAGACGCCGAAATGGATGCCCTAACATTCTGAATGGAAAGTTTACTTTTAAAAAGTTGCCAAATTGTCCCATTGACAAGACCTAGGGATCTGTGTGTTTTGTCGTTGTGAACTGAGCGATCATCATCGCAGCACGTCCAGTCTGAAACACCACTTGATGATGGCCAAGCAAACACACACACACACAGATGATGCGAATTCTCCGCCCCCTCGTCAATATCAGGACCTCGTCAGTATTTCTTTCACCCTTTTATTGATAGACAGTGTTACATTGTGTGAGAGATTATTTATATATGTTAGTGTGAAATTGAGCACTATTCCAATGTTATTTTCAATAATAATAAAAAAAAATGTTTGCACTAAACAAGCCAATCCACTTTTTCATGTTGACAAGAGCATTAAAATGAGAAAAAAATAATGTAACAAAAAGAAATCAAAAGACATTTAGAATAGATAAAAATGTGCGATTAATTGCGAGTTCACTATGACATTAATGTGATTAATCGCGATTAAATATTTTAATCGTTTGACGGCACTAATATATATATATATATATATTTATACATTGAAATGGCGAGCGAGCAGCTGTATAGAAAGTGTGTTCCCCCCTGGACTCGTTATCTCACAGTTGGGGATTAACACAATCTGTGCATTGTTTGTTTGGGAGTGCAGCATGCCCAGTCAGCTCTCGCATACCCCTTTTCCACCAAAAAAGAACTGGTTCAGAACTGGTGCTGGTTCAAAGTTGGTTCGGAGTTGGTTCAACTTGTGAACCCGTTCAGAACCTGTTTGTTTTTCCACTGACTAGAGCGCCCAGGGAACGACGTCATTACGTCACTGTGTACGTCGCCATACGTCTTAGCTAGAAATGCTTGCAAGTACAACATTACTTTGGGATTATCTCTAACTCGCGTACCAAGAAGGCTTTAAAAACAATTGAAATATGTAAGTCTTTTAATCTTTTGGTTTGATATGTAATATTTTCTGATACGTTATGGACCCCTGTCTTATGTCTTTTTTTTTCTTTCCATTTATTTGTTCTATATTGTGACTGTTTTCTTCTTTGCTTATAATTTAAAAAAAAAAAAAATAGAAATGCTTGCGCCAACTTCAAGCATAACAATTACAAAGGCGGACTCCGTCGTGTTTCTCCAAATGTTTCTCCTGGCTTTGCAATCCTTTATTATGGTCTAAACCCGGCCAAGCCCCCGATGTAAGCATGACGTGGTAAAAGAACGGTTCTAGTCCAGCAAAGAGTAGGTGCCGCTTTGGAACCAGTTTTCCAGGCAGAGAACCGGTTCTTTGGCTGTCGAAACACAAACAACTGGTTCACGCGTAGGCACCGGCTCCTCCTGCGACTTCAATGGAAGAGGAGGTGGTTCACATTCTGTTGATGGGTCTCCTACATCTGCAGTGGCCATGCTATCTTTTGAATGGCTGTAGCTCAGTTAGAGGAGGTTGCACTTCAACACAGGTTTTTTTTTCTGCTTGGCAAGCCGAACGGACGTGACATGGGAGCGTGGCAGAAAATTCGATTTTCAAGTTTAAAAATCTAAATCGTGACACCCTTAATTGTGAGCATTGCGAGTGTTTTCCTCTAAGAACACTCCGCTCCCTCCGATCACTCTTCGAGGAGAGTGGTTCGGTTTGCGCTACCCATGGCTCGGGTCCCGCTTTTCTCAAGGCAGAGTGGATCTGACAGCGGGGTTTGAGACAGGCTCTGCCCTATCTCAGTCTTTACCTGCCAGTTCCAGTGCCTGAAACTGTGGGCTTGGCCTCTGAGGGGGTCCAGCTCATAAGTTCAGGTCTCTCAACCGAGGATGTGGAGACCATCCTTCACTCCAGAACTCCTTCCACAAGTTATATGCCTTGAAGTGGAAGTTTTTCACTTCTTGGTGTGGAGAAAGACAGTTAGACCCGGTTAACTGCTCAGTGGGTGCAGTGCTGGAGTTCCTGCAGGAGCGTTTCTCCACAGGGCTATCCCCCTCCACACTAAAGGTGTATGTGGCGGCACTAGCTGCTTACCACGTCCCTTTGAGTGGAGTCTCTTTGGGGAGACACCCACTTATAACATGCTTTCTTTGTGGCACCTTGAGGCTGAGGCCAGCAGTTTGCCGACCTGGGATTTGGCCATTGTACTGGAAGGTCTCCCCCTAGCTCCCTTCAAGCCTATTGAAGAAGTTACTGAGAAATTTTTCACTCTGAAAACTATTTTTCTTAACTATCTCTTCACTCAAGAGAATCAGTGACATTCAAGCTGTCTTGGTTGCTCCCTTGTGCCTGGAATTCCAGAATGGTATGGTGAAGGCCTTCCTCCATCCTAGGCCAGGTTATGTTCCTGAGGTCCCTACTAATGTTGCTAGACCTATAGTACTGCAGGCTTTCTGTCCTCCTCCATTTATGTTGTTGGACCAGGAGAAACTCAACTTACTCTGCCCAGTCAGGGCTTTAGATGCTTATGTCCACAGAGCTGCCCTGTGGAGGAAGTCTGAACAGTTGTTCGTCTGCTTTTGGTCACCCAGGAAGGGGTGTCTGGCATCTAAACAGAGGATGAGCAAGTGGGTGGTCGAGGTTATCTCACTTGCCTATGAGTCGGCTGGTCCTCACCGCACACATTGGTCAGGTTCTATAACCTAGACTTTAACTCCACTCTTGCGGCGCAGGTGCTTTCGTCTGAATGTGCACTTTGACTTCACACAGTCGGGCGCTTGCTCTTATGGCGACGTGGGTATTAGTATTCCCACAGCATCGACGCAGCTTGAGTTCCCTTGAAAGGGAACGTCTCGGTTAAGTATGTAATCCTAGTTCCCTGAATAGGGAACGAGACGCTGGTTCGTTCTGCCATACTCCCGGCATGCCCGTGAACGACTTGCTTCAGGCCTATCAGAAGATGTCGCGGTTTTGATTTTGGGGTGCTTTATAGGTTCCTGGACGATGACGTCACCCACCTTTGACGTTCCGTCTCGCCATTGGACTGATTCCATACATGCTTCATGAAGCACTCATGCAAGGGCGTTCCCTCAGCGTTTGACGCAGCGTCTTGTTCCCTATTCAGGGAACTTTGGTTTCATTTTTTTATTAAGAGTGTTGAACTTTCTTCATCTTCACTCCAGAACAGCAGCAGCTGTGAGGTTTATTCGAGCGGCGCCCTCTACTGCACAGGCTTGAACTGTTGCTGTGAAAAGGCCTTTATGTTTGCCAAAAACAGAACTTAAAGGGATACTCCACGTTTTTTTGGAAATAGGCTCATTTTACAACTCCCCCAGAGTTAAACAGTCGAGTTTTACCGTTTTTGAATCCATTCAGCCGATTTTCAGATATTTAGAAAAATATCAGTAACCAGACAGTTTCTGGTCTCATAGACTTCCATAGTAGGAAAAAATTTATACTATGGAAGTCAATGAGATCAGAAACTGTCTGGTTACTGATATTTTTCTAAATATCTGAAAATCGTCTGAATGGATTCGAAAACAGTAAAACGTCTCGGGTTATGACTATAACCCTTGTTCCCTGAGAAGGGAACGAGACACTGCGTCGATAAAATCGACTCTTTGGGGACGCTCCCTAAGCGTGCGCCTCTGAAGTATGAATGAAACTAATCCAATCCTGATTGGTGTTGCGTCGTGACGTAACATGTGACGCATACCCGGAAGTATAAAAGTGACGCTGTCACAACACACACTAGCCTCGCGATGAAGCAAGACGCTCAAGGGTCTGAAAAAGGGGGTGGCAACACGACGCAGTGTCTCGTTCCCTTCTCAGGGAACAAGGGTTATAGTCATAACCCGGACGTTCCCTATCGAGGGAACTCAACACTGCGTCGATAAAAATCGACTCTTTGGGGAACGAGTACCCACTAGGCCACGCACCGAACAGACCCGCCCCAGAGTGAAACTGATTAGGCACTCAGCAAGGGCCGAGTACGTGTGCACCGGGCGTACTGGGAAGGCTGAGACTGTAAAACCTGATGAAAGTATGCGGGGTAGCCCAGCCGGCTGCCTCACAAATCTCCTGCAGAGGTACTCCCGACAGAAGGGCCCTAGAGGAAGCCATGCCTCTAGTCGAGTGAGCCCTTAAGGCCAAAGGTGAAGGAACCCACGCACCTTGTAAGCCTCAGTAATAGCCTGGACAATCCAGTTACTTATAGTTTGTTTGGTCGCCGGGAGCCCCCTCTTAGGTGACCCAAAGCATACTAACAACTGGTCAGATCTTCTCCAAGAAGCAGACTTTTCCAAGTATACACTCAAAGCTCTGACGGGGCAGAGCAAGTGAAGCCTCTCTTCTCCCGCCGACACATTGAGGTGGAGGATGGAATGCCTGAAGGATACAGAGCGAGCCGTACTCGAAGGAACTTTAGGCACGTAGCCCGGACTCGGGTGCAAAAGGCCTTTACTTTGCCAGGGCAAACTCAAGCAAGCTGCGTTACCGCCAGGGCCTGGAGATCTCCCACCCTCTTAAGAGAGGTAATCGCTAAGAGAAAGACCATTTTCAACGTTAAGTTCCTTAGGCGAAGCCGACTCTAAAGGTTCGAAGGGAGCGAGGGACAACCCTTCCAGAACATTGCCAGATCCCAGGCAGGCACCCTGGACCTGATCGCCGGCCTCATCCTCCAAGCACCACGGAGAAACCTAATGACCAACTGGTGCCTCCCCAGAGGTCCACCATCTACTGGCGCGTGGAAAGCCGAAACGGCAGCCACGTACACCTTAAGAGTGGACGGGGAGAGACCCGCAGAGAAACGATCCTGAAGGAATTCCAGAACTGAAGCCACTGGGCAGTTTACTGGATCCAACCTTCGTTCTCCACACCAAGTGTGAAACACCTTCCACTTGAGGCCATATAATCTCCTGTGATAGATGGGGCCCTAGAGCTAAGTATGGTTTCAACCACCTCAGCTGATAAGCCAGCATTTAGGTACTGAACCCCCTCAGAGGCAGACCCACAGCTTCCACAACTCTGGGCGAGGGTGGCAAGATTGTGCCCTCCGCCTGAGACAATAGATCCCTCCTCAGAGGAATCGGCCATGGCGGAGCTATGAGGAGTGATATTATATCCGAGAACCATACTCGTGTCGCCATCTCGGGCAACCAGAAGTAGACTGATGCCCTCTTGACGGACCCTCTCCAGGACCCCTGGAGCAGAGCGATCGGGGGGAAAGCATACAGGCGAAGCTCGGCCAAGCCTGTACCATGGCATCCAACCCCAGTGGGGCTGGATGTGAGAGGGAGAACCAAAGTGGACAGTGGGACGTCTCTCGAGACGCAAACAGATCCACTTCCATCGGTCCGAACCTCTCCCATTTATCGACTTCAACCACATCCGGATGAAGTCTCCATTCCCCGGGCCTCAGCCCCTGCCTCGACAGGATGTCTGCTCCCCGATTCTGAACCCCTGGGATATACATTGCCCTTATTGACAATATCTTTCCCTGGGACCAAAGGATAATCTGATGCGCCAGTTTGCACAGAGGGCGCGATCTGAGTCCCCCTGTCGGTTCAGATAGGCCACCACTGACGTATTGTCTGTCCGTATAAGGACGTGGCGACCCTCGATGTCTGGGAGGAAGCTCCTCAAAGCCTTGAATACCGCCATCATCTCCAGGCAATTTATATGCCAAGTGCGATGATGGTCCTGCCACAGACCCCTGGTAAAGCGGCCGTCCATGACCGCGCCCCAGCCCGTAAAGGGAGGCGTCTGTCGAAACGGTTTCCCGGCGACATGAACCCCCAACACTGGCCCTTGGGATAGGAACCAAGGCTTCTTCCATATTTTGCAGAGACTGAAGGCACTTGCGCGTTACTCTGATCATACGGAACGGATTTCCTTTGGGTGAGAACCCCTTGGTCTTCAACCACCTGGAGGGGCCTCATGTGAAGGAGGCCCAGAGGAATAATGTTGGATGCCGCTGCCATGAGGCCCAGCATCCTTTGAAAGTGTTTCACAGTGACGGCCTGAACTAGCTCACCCTGGACACCATCGCCAAATTGACTCGATACGTGCGGGAGACATACGTGCCTGCATTGTAATCGAGTTCCACACGACTCCCAAAAAGGTCGTGCCCTGGGACGGTTCTAGCACACTCTTCTTCAAATTGAGTCTTAACCCCAATTTTTGAATATGGCCAAGAACACATCTCGATGCCGAACTGCCATCTCCCGAGACTGGGCCAAATAAGCCAGTCGTCGAGATAATTCAATACGCGAATCCCCTGAAGTCTCAGTGGAGCAAGGGCCACGTCCATACACTTGGTAAATGTGCGGGGAGAGAGTGCTAGGCCGAACGGAAGAACCCGATATTGGTACTGCTTCGCCCCGAAAGCGAACCTCAGGTACCTCCTGTGACAAGGAAGGATGGAGATGTGAAATAGGCGTCTTTCAGATCTATCGTGACAAACCAGTCCTCGGATCTGATTTGACTCACG